GTTATTTGAGAATCTTCGATTGCCATACCTATTGTGCTACAAAGGTTCCTAAATATAGTCACCACATTTTCTGAACGACTCTCAGGAACCGCTTGCAATTCTAAATTATGATTTCGAGATAGGTTCTCAATGCTAGAAATTTTATTATTTAATAAAGAAAGTTCAGATTTCAATTTGTTATTTTCATTCTCCAAAATTTTAATTTTTTCTCTATTCTCGGTCACCAAGGACTTTAGTGTGTTCTGTTCTGCGCAAATAAAATCGGTTGTAGATGTAAAATTATTTTCTAAATTTTTAATCTCAGATTGAATTTCTGATTTAATTATTTTTTTTGATATCTACAAGTAGAGCTGTACGAAGATCGACTTTGAAACTTGCAAGGTAATTATTTAATTTCTCATCAAGTACGGCCGATACAGAAGTTTGAATTTTATGATCTAGTAAATTACTTATTTTATCCATCGTAACCGCATCGCAGTCCTTTCCTTGCGGCAGATTGCTGATGCCCGCGAACCGGTGTATTAACATTAGAGCCGCGCCGTCGAGTGTTTACATTCAAACATGCTGGGCACATCCAAGACTCCAGCGCCTGAGCCGTCATCAAAGAAAAATCTTTTTGCTTATATTTAGACATAATCGATGGTATTTTCCAGTACAAATTTTACACACAATATAGTCATCCTTCGAGTTAATCTTCTTGTTACACTGAGCGCTGCAATCCATTGTAGAAAATATATTTATACTGCCCTCTTACGACTCTGTTAAGTAACTCCAGTTCAGTAATAAGCAAAGCGTAACAATAGTAAAGCAGCAAGCAATGCTAAAAGTCTAAAAGCAACGTTAGTGTGCGTCAAGACGCTGTTTCTTCTTAACGGCAATACACGTTCCAGAGCAGCGCGTACGCAAGGCACCTCATAGATGGCGTTGCAGATGCATCAATTAGAATGATAAAGCAATTTTGAACGCTTAAGTTTGAAATGCTTCCAATTATTACACAGTAATTACTTATTGTACCAGGCAGAGTGTCACAACAAAACACAGAAAGTTCCCAAACTGCACGAAACAATCACAAAATATCAGTCATAAGATTGGTAAATCCATCAATGCACCAATTTATAATTTCTTGTAAACAGTTCACAATAGCAACGAGATAACAATCACAGTTCACCACTATAACGAGACACTTAAGTTGATAAAGATTTGATAAATATTCTCTTGACAAATACAAATATATCGAATAAATTATTAAGAGCTAGTACAAAGACAGTGTTTACTTGTAAGCGCCCTCTGGCGGAAGAAAGTAGTCTTCTTTAATGTAAAAATGTGTATCTTTTAGTGTTTTTTTTTTGTTTGTTTCAATACTTTTAGCTTTGTACCTGAATGTGTTAGTTATTTTTATATAGTCTTATTAAAATGTATGCCATTGTTATAAAATCAAAAAGAATCTAAGATAATTTAGAACGGTTATTTGAATGTAATTATATTTTACGGTATTTTAGCTAATTTGTTTTGTTTATTTGTTGCTTTATTATTGCTATTTCTTAAATGTCAATATGAAAATAAATTATGATTCGAATCATTATATTTTAGAGAAATTATATAAGACTGTAAAATAATATAATATAATAATATTAGGGGGACCAAACCACTACATTAGATTTGATAGACCACAGATCCTTGCAGCTGAGCGGCGGTTCGTTCCTCGAATGATGCGCGAGGCTATTGAGATTAAAAAAATATCCAAATTTCAATAGGGAAGATGGTTGGTATATACCACCAGCTTGGGAACCTATTATACAGGAGATAAAATCCCAACCCCGAGCACACACTGCAAGACCATCAGATACTATTAGTTCTTTTTGTTTGCATAATTTAACATAAGAAGGAGATAGAAAGCCTCTCTTGAGTTTGTTTCGTCGGTTCTTCTCAGGAAGGTCTCCCAATTTTGGAACCGGTGGTAGTTTACGGTAGTTAGGGTCAAATAAATAAACTCAAAATTACAAACAAGAATTTTAAATAAAATACTTTATTAAGTAAATTAAATAATAAATTCATACATAGACAATAAAACTTAAAAATCGAACAATGAAATAACCAAACGCTCAATAAAAGTCTTTCGAAGGTAGCTCGACAAATTAAATAAAAGTTTTATTCTGACGACGAAGCCTGTAGAGGCTACGAAACGTCAATAAATAAATAAAGTTTCGTGCATTAACCCGTAAAAACTAGTTTTATTTAATGAGTGATGTGCGTGAAAACCTAAGAAACAAATATACTAATAAACCTGTCTTTATTGTAAACCAAATCGCGAAGGGTCTCGCTTGATGCAGGATGGCCGAGCTGTTAGCATTTTTATAATATTAGTATTTTTTACAGATCGGTCAATAGTACAGTTATTGTTTTTATCTTAGTTTGTCTATGCTAAATCACGCCACATCACTTTACCTCCCCACCATCTTATCACGTGACGTGAAGGGGGGACGGACTAACGAGTGGAGCGGTCATAAATACGGTATTCAGTCGAGAGCCTTCGTCGTGAATAGTGGTCCAAAATTTAACGTGGTGTTGCTGCTAAATATTCTTGTTATAATAATTTTAGTTTATATCACAAGTGAAGTACAAGTTGAATAAAGCAAGTGGAAAATTAACATTGTGGTTTAACTTCTGAAAACTAATCAAACCTATGTAATCACCTATTCAAATTGCAATAACTTTATAAGTACACAAGATATATTTCCGAAATAAAGACTCGAATAAGAGTTTAATTTGGTTTTAAGTTTAATTTACTAAAGAAAACTGATAAAATTTGCTATAAAACGTTTTTTATTTTATACCTCCAACTTCTACAGTTTAGATTTTTCTTTTTAATGTGGTAGGTACTTAGTTTTGCAGGCCAGTGTATTTGCTAAAAGCCGAATGAGATTTGGGCTATACAAAATTGGATATGTTATTAATATGATGTGAACGCCTTCATTACCAGGATACACATCGTTGACCATAACTAACAAGGTATTATAAAAAAGGATGGTACAAAGTAGGATGTAGTAAGACTTAATGATGGACGACGGTCAAAACGTATTACCTTATAAAAGGGAACAAGAAAGCGTTATGCCATGGTTAGGCCGCTCATTTATTTTTATATTAAAAGAGAGGACGCAGAAGAGCGGTTGGGGTTGAGCTTTAAAGTACGGTTAACAGAAAAAAGTAGACAAGAATGGAGGGGGATACTTAGGAATTCTGAATAATAGAACCTGTAAGTACTAATAAGGGTGAGGCCAAACGAGCGTAATTTTGTGAGTGGTGAGTCGCAGAATTTCGGTCGCAGAAATTCTGCTGCATTCGGTTTCATACGAAAAGGCAGTTGGTGCCACACGACAACGCAAAATGAGTTGTCTGCCAACTCAATGCGCATAAGCTCGTCCGAATTTCGGTCGGGGTGAGGGTAGGGCAAGGAATGGGAGTGGGGAAGCAACAGTTTGTTACAAGTTGCGTGGTGTAATAATTCTTGAAAAACACGTAATGGCATATGATAGTACTTTTCAAACATATCTGGATTTACACATAAACGTTAATATAAAGTATGGAACTGTCCACATATCAGCCTCTGACTATTCAGTGGGTTTACCCAGTTTCTTTTTCTGGCCTCATCTTCTGAATATGCTTCGTAAATACACAATATTTTTAATGGACCCATTGCACTCGACGACACGAACACCACGTACTAACGCTCAATAGTAACTGAATAAATTACGTTCGTAGGGCAGCTCAACAGAAATTCAGTTGAACGTAAAATAAGTGACCGAAAATAAGCGACTCACAACTCACAAAATTACGCTCGTTTGGCTTTACCCTAAATCGATTAAATGTTGAATAAAGTAAAGGAGATTGCTCAGCTTCCATACATGTTTGACCTAAAGACCAATAATCATGAAAAATTGTTTCCTAGATTCGAAATTATATATAAATTACTGTAGAAACGAATATTATTGACGGACACCCCTGAGAACTTCTATAAACCATATACACTGAACATATTAAAATAATAAAAAACAAATAGGTTATATAGTAAACTAGGGAAATCAAGCCAAGTACCGAAATTATGTATTAGATTCAGGTATATAGAGCATGTAGATTAACAGATAGTTGCCTTATTTTAAAGTTAATGCACAAGAGTAACTTTCAAAATCAGGTGTCATCTATGCATTTCCGGTTATAATAAGGTATTCTCACAGATTAAAGAGAATTTTTAAACTCTCGCTAACCAAAGAAAGCAAAGAGATTTAGGTTATACAGCCATATCTTCAGCAGCTTTGTTTAGTTAGTTTTGTTATGTTTATATTATAACCATATTTTAGATTTTTAGTGTATCACACCTTATAATTTTATCAATTAATTTATAGTCAGGCAACGTAGGCCCAATAGATACCTAAATGTCTAACATATATACAGATTATAATGTGTTTATGGAGGTGTTTGGCGAAAAATGTATGGCAATAGACTTTATGATGTCGCCTACCATCTATAATATTTGTCTTAGCACATTTGCATGTCATGTTAGTGAAAATGATAATATAGTTGTGGATGATACCACAGTGAAATAAAAAAAAATGTTTTCATTTTATCGATCTTTACAAAATAGATTTGTTTTTATGTTATATAAACAACTTTGATCAGTCTTTGGCTGAATGTTACTACACCCATAGCCATTAAAAATGATTCGTTTGTTTTCCAAACCGGTAAAATTAAAAGTCCTTTTTAAAGTGAATATATTATAAAAACGTGTCCGTTGAATTCTAATGACTGTAAATTAAATTATAAATTACGAAAAGAATTACCGTACATGTCAATATTTTTTTGTGAATTTGGGCCAATTTGAGCAATCTCCTTTTGTTCACTTGTATAGATGCGAAGTATTGTTGTGTAAAATATTAATTAACGGTGATTCGGCAAACTGTAAGGTTGAGTGAATGCTTATCTACTTGTCTAGTATTTAAACTTACGTGTGAAGGCGAAAGACTTTGGCATCTTCTCTCCAGTCCCGGTTTCTTAATATTAACCGGGCTCTATACAATAAAATATTTGAAAAAGTATTAGTTAACAAAATTATTAATTGAAATCCTGTGGATTAGTTTAAGTACTAGTAATACATTAATCATCTGCTAGATGTTCATCCTTGCACCTAATGATACCTAATGTACTCCCCAAAATAACTGAGACCATAATGTGGGGTCGAACGTAAACACTGTTAAATTTAATCGTAATACATTGATACTAAGCTTAGTATCTGCTGCCATTTAAAACGATAAATAACGCAATGTAGTTAGCCTGAGAACACAGTTAACACGAATGCTGCATAACTTCTTGTCAAAATCCAATAAAAGAAATAATGATTTAGGTCCCAGCTACGGCAAATTCGCAGAATACATGCACTTATTGCTTTTTATAAATTTAAAAGCTCAGAGATTTTAAACTTGTAGGTTTTATTAACTGTATGATTTTTTTTTAATGAAACACTTTTCCTTCTACTATTCCACAAAAATCTAAAATCTCAATCTCTGAAACTAATACCTATATCCAATTATCAGATATGGGGATTATTACTAAAAACCTTAAACCACAAGGGAAACGGTATATTATTCTTCATATCATTCGTAGCCATATCCAAGATCCCAAATTTCATGTACCACGATAACACATAATATAAGCTACATTAGTATCATCGGTTAGTTGTTTTTTGTTCGATGTACGGAACCAACAGTCTACTACTATCTACTTACTGAACACGTTGCCATTTTGCCGCCCACCATGGGTATTTAATATCGTTGCCCAACATCCTCTCCGGAAGTACCTACTCTATTCGCTCTAAAATGTTTAATCAATAGGCTATTTGACAGTATGAAAAATAATGTATCAATTGTTGGCATCCGTATTCAATATCAATATTAGCAGCTATATAACTATTCTGAAAGAACAAATAATTAATAACTTATGTTTTTATTTATTTTTAAGCATTTAACTGCTAGATGTTTAAATCTTAAACATCTAGCAGTTAAAAAGTTTACTAGAAAAAAATCCACGCGGACCAGGCAGCGGACGGGACTCAAACCCGCACCCTTCGCAATCCGGGCGAATGCACTGACCATTATGCTACCACGGCCCTATTCGCCGCGTCGAAATTTTCCTAGCCTTAAGCTGCAAGGCAGCGCCATCTCTTCGCATTGTAGGTAACCCACAATATCAAATGAATACTTTTTCAAGTATTAAACATTTGGGGAAATAACAATGAGGGTGTTTATGAAAATTTACGTCACCAGTTGGCGCCACTGTTACGTGAGGTCTTTTGTATGAAGTTTTTAGCGCCAACTCCATATGCGATTTGACGGATGATTAGACCTTTCGTCTCAGTACTGCCACCTGGTGCCCGTCATTCCAAAAACCCTCATTATAGTTATGTTTTTATTTATTTTTTAGTATATAACTGCTAGATGTTTAAATCTAAAGAAAAGTTTACTAGAAAAAAATCCACGCGGACCAGGCAGCGTATGGGACTCGAACCCGCACCCTTCGCAATCCGGGCGAATGCACTGACCATTATGCTACCACGGCCCTATTCGCCGCGTCGAAAAAACTTTTCTATAAAATCATTAAATAGAAATGATTATTTTGCTCCATGCTCACGTGACCGAAAGCGCTTGGGATTGGCCAAGAGTATTGACGTCACACGCTAGTTAACTTTCGGCCAAAGTGACATTACATTGTATCATTTGACGTTTTAATGACTGTCGTGTGACTTCACATACTAGTGAAACGCCATGATGTCCAGAGAAACGTTTTCGCGGCAACTTGAAAATTTTATTATTGATTGTTTTTTCTTATTGAATTACGTATCTACTTTTCATGGACTCTGCCTAAAACTTGTCAAATACCCTATTGTTTCCGGAAGCATCCTATTCGATCAAAGACTTTTACTATTTTCTTTCGCGGAAATGTAAGTACTCAGCTAGTGAATTTTCATTTCCAGTATGGTGCGGTGTGTTCATGTTTCGTTACATACTTTGTTTCTCTGTGCTGCTGGGCCGATGGAGTGCGCTCTTTTGTATACAGGTCGTGTGACATGCTTCTTAGCATTCGCATTAACGTCTTAAAATAACATTTCTTTATTAGTGGCAATAATCTAAATATTCCCTAAATATCCCCTATAGACTGACCAAGACTCGCTAAAAAAACTGACGACATATCAAGCTAGCAGTCACGAGCGAATTGATTTTCCCAACTTTCATACCATATAGGTAAAAAATATCAGCCCCTTAAAGTTATTATCGGGAAGTACAGACGAATTTTGAATATAACATTTAGTATAGAGATAAAGGAGGTTTCAGCTTAGGTCATATGCATTTTTAATCGCAAAAAACAAAATCAATATAGGGGATGAAAGTTATAGAAATACGATACTTCAGCCAAGCTAGACCAGACCGCAAGCACCACCTACAAATCCCTTATAAAATTACCTAGCTACCGAATATTTTATTTCACTCCCAGCAACAAGAGAACTTATAATAAAATTAATATTATTATCTACAAGTTCTGTTGATAATATTATTTAGCAACCAATAAGATAGTCTTGGACAAGGCAATTGAACCTTCGGCGTATCTGGAATTAAAACGCACTTGATAAATGTATTAATACGGCGGACGAGCGTATCACCTACTATAAGTACCTATTGATATAATTTAGTTCAATAAATTATATCAATTTAAAGTGTATAATTCTATTTCTAATTTTAACTATGTTAAATATATTATGATACAGTCTACGCGATGGTAAAATTGTTACTTTGGTAGTACCTACCTCAGTCTCTACGTGTAGTATATTTAATGTCTGTAGTCTCTACCAAAATCCTAGCAGCGTCATCTAAAGAGTACAAGGTTCCGACCTAAAAACTTTCTAATTCTATACACACACTCGGAAAACTTAACTGTCCTTCTAGTACATACTTACGAGTAAAAATTAAAGCTAGGATTATGGTATTAAACGAAAAAATCTTCAGCAATATAAATAGGAAAACTAAAGTGGTTAATATTCTTGGGTATATTATTCTCCAATGCAACGAAAGGCATTCTCACAAAATACTTTACACCCTGATCATAATCCAATAGGTACTTCTTACATAAATTGTAATTAACATTTGATATGCTATTATGAATTTAGCTATTTACATCATACCTATACTAGGAGGGGGTGGCGGTAATGATGTCCTCAGCATCGTGATATTTTTGTATTTTTTATAAAATTTTATTTTAAGAAATGACAAACTAAAAAATTTACCAATTTCGCTTATTGACTGACATTTGTTATGTTAATATATTGACAGCGTTTTCTTCATAATCTATTCTTTCCGATCAGACTACAATTTTCGGATGAAAAGTTTCATTACATTTTTCGTGCTCCGATGATCGCATTTATCTAAAGATTATTTTATTGAAGTAGTTTTCACCTTGTCCCGTTTCTTAATCAGTATTTTTTCAATGCCGGAACAGATTATTATTACTGCAAGGTCAGAACATTTTTAGCGACATGTTTTATTGTAAACAACGTAAGGGGAATAATACCAATATTTGATATTTGTAACTAAAAAAACCGGCAAAGTGCAATTCGGACTCGTAAACGAAAGGTTCTATCTGATTTCGTCGAACGAACAAAAACTATAGTCTACACTACAGTTCTACACCGAAGCGAAGCAAGGGGCGGACCAACAGTAGGTGTAGTAGTAGTGTATATTTAAGTATATGAGTATATTTTATCTAGAAAAATATTCAACAAACTTAGGTACAAATGCTCGTATTCATCATACAAACCTTTGCCCTACCGAGATTCGATTCCGGGACCTCTGAGTAGACGACACACCTTAAGAGCTCTTTCACATTTTTTGCAAAAAATTTTTGAGCGCCTCGTTTACCCCCTTAAAAAAGATTTTGACTATTTCCAATAGAAGTAAACAGTAGATTTATTCTTCCTATTGTAGGTTAATGTAGAATATTTGCAAATACTATTTACCTTTTTTTGTACTGATCGTTCTACTGCAGCTAGTTTACGGAAAAAAACGATAATATGCACAACTTCAAACGCCTCAATCTTTCTTATGTTCAATAAATTAGATCCATTTAATTAGTACGACATCAAAAATATGTTTTTGTTGTAGCATAATGTATTAAAATTTTGATTTTCTATTATTATAATTTTTGATATTAATTGTCAAAAAAACATCTAACCTCTGTGAGTTTTCCCAAAAAGAAATGCAGGTTTACCTCGTATTTTGATATTGAATTAAATAGAATTACTATCAAAAACTTTCATAAAACTAATCTACCATCATTGAACTACTCAAATATGTATATATATTTATAATTAGTTAATTAATAATTATTTTATAAGACTCGAAACATCACCCGTAAAATGCAATATATACTAGTGCAAATCTACCTACTCCCCGATCAGTACGGCAGCGGCGCAATTTTGTAAAAGGGCTCTTAAAACGAAGTCAAGTTCCAAATTAGGTAGGTGCATGTTTCTAGTACTAAATAAACTCTGAACAAAGCTGCGCACGGACGGATGGACAGACATAGCCTAACTATAAGTGTTGACTCGGAACCTTAAATAGGAACCTACTTAACTTACAATAATGTCTCAAAATAACACAATCAATTGATTCCATATCATGTAATTTAATTATCTTTGACCCAATTACACAAAAAGAGGTGAGTGCTACAATAACGTTAAAATAAACAAATGAAAATCTACAGCGTTTCATTTTCCGCAGTGACTGAAAGCATTTATCGATAAAATACCTTTATTTATCTTTCATTCGTAGATAGTCTGTGCGGAATGAGAATGGGATTTAGATTGGAGGGCGCTGTAGTGCTTTTCTACCGTATTCGTAAGGTTTTACCCCTTTTAGACATGATTAAATACAAAAAACTGCAAGAAATCACAACAACAAACAAATCCGTATCAATACAAAACTTTGACGTTTAACAGATTGCTGGGTTTGATTGGCAAATAAAAATCTTAATGTTAGTTCCGTTTTTCGATACGCCCATTCTCTTTCCGCACAAACTCTAGTCGACCATCTTAAATAAATTCATAAGAATACTGAAAACTAAGTAAATGCCAGCTCATTAATGCTATTTAATTAGGGTGAATTTGACGCTGTTTGTGCATTACCTTTATTTGCTTTTACAAATATTTGTAATAAATGAAATTTCGTATATCTAAATTGGTATTGCAAATGAAGAACTCGTTCTGCAGTTGTATTATTTGTAAGGTCCGTATTTTCGGGCCTTCGATTTTTCAAATCCTAATCTATTATGATCAAAAAAGATACGATTGCCAACAACATAACTATTCCCACCCTTAGTACATTGTACTGTTTTTAATAATAACAATAATAAAAAAATAGTTTTTTTGGTGTGCGACTTCATTCTAAATGATCGTAATGCATGGACATAGTGTTTCTTGTAATTTGTTATTTTATGGGTATCAGTCAGTTTTTGTAACAGTAATATGGTACCCATCTAATGCCGCTTCCTATATACTAAATATAAAATTTATTGAAACTATATATATCTATATCCTAAATGATGTAATGGAAGGTGACTTCAGAAGTATCTCTTAAGTCATTTTTCAACTGGACGACTCTGTATATATCAATACAGTTAGAAAAAAAAAGGTAAATTTAAAAAATCAAAAAACCCGACTGCTTAATTATACTTCAAATAAAAACTGAAAAGAAAAAAACAAGTCCAGTAGTCTATAATTCTGTTAATAAGGAACAAAGCTACTTTAACAGTCGGGACCCATCAGATATTCAAGAATACATAATATTTTTCAACAGTGGGTCCCGACTGTTACAGTAGCTTTGTTCCTTATTAACAGAATTATAGACTACTGGACTTGTTTTTTTCTTTTCAGTTTTTATTTGAAGTATAATTAAGCAGTCGGGTTTTTTGATTTTTTAAATTTACCTTTTTTATTTCACACTTTTTAGTTAGTTAGTATTTAAGACGGTATATACCGTAGTCTTGTTACTTCAGTAAGGGAATTAATATCGCGGGAATTATTAAGTACCTTGCGTCGTTAAAAGATTGATTTATTAAGACATATAAAGACTTTACCAGCGGGGTCAAGGCTACAGATGGGCCTCAATTTTCGCAAAAATATTGAAGTTAAATCAAGTCGTTACATAAATATCTCTAATGTATGTAAATTTTATAGTAAACTAGCACTTATCAAAAAGTCATCTTTTTTATGTTTTTTTTAATAGTTTAGCAGTAAATATAAAATTCATTTACTTTTATTCGTCGACTATTTAAAATTGGCAGTGGCTGCATTGTCATCAATGCCGGACGTCTAAGATTGTGATATACACAAATTCAGTGTCAGTCCCTGTCTCATAATTTGATATACCTACATAATTCACAGAAACCCAATATGTAGATGCCAGAAGTTAACTTCAAATGTTTTTAATCACCCTATATACAATACCAATCAATGACGTTTATGTCGCAGGTTGAAGAAAGCAGTAATTCCCGTCTGTTGTTTTGGACAATGGTGGCAACTGCCTTAGATCACTAAATTAAATATTTGCAATCACCAAAGCAAAGTTTATAATATTTGATTAAACTAAAGGCGCATAATAAAATTTTCATAACGTTAGGTAGAGCACCATAGCAATCTCATTTATTATCAATTTATAGTTCTCTTTGTAGTTTTCTTTTAAAGCGTTCACATTTAACAGGTCAAAGACTTTGTGTTCGACCCTTTTTTATTGGCAGTGTAAAGCTCGAATGAAGAGTACTCCCAGTAGTGCAATCATGGCAATTATTTTCCAAATTTTTTTGTTTATAAAAATACGAATCGAATAACGTCACTGTTAAGCACAAATGCTAAGTAACTTTTACAAATATAATCAAATAAACTACTTATTACTTACTTACTTTATTTTAAATCTTTTTCATCAATTAAATACTTATAAACTATCTATACTAATATTATAAAGAGGCAAGATTTGTATGTTTGTAACAAATAATCTGTCAAACTACTGAACCGGTTTCAAATATTAATTCATCATAAGGTAGCTACATTATTTATTATAACATTTTTCTTTATTTAAATACATTTTGTCCGAGTGACATAGGCTATATTTTATCCCGATAAATAAATTTCGCCCGTACAATGCCCGGGTGGATCACTAGTAAGTATAATATAATATTATAGATGCGAAAGTGAGTTTGTTTGTTGCGCTTCCGTGCCCTAATAGCTAAATCGAATATAATGAATTCCCATATAGAAGTAGATGGGAACTTGGTTCTTAGCTACAACATCGCAATACTTATAGGCGTAGGGTGATGAAAGGGGTGATTTACTACATTAATATTTTGCAGAATTATTACAAAACCAATATTATCGCGAGCTGATTAATAAATACAGGGATTCCAATAAGTATGTACTTACTAGCGAAAAATGGGTTATTTGTCATTATATTAAGTAAACCTTTTTTGTAACATTAAGTAATATCGTTAAAAAAATGAAAAACAGTAAAATTCTGAGTTTTTCATTAAAATTCAATAATCATAAATACCTATTATGATAATATATTTTTCATCATTTAATAAGAAGGAACTGTATCACAGTTTTATTGTTAGTACTTCGTATAGGATCAGATACTGCGAATACCCCATTTTTTTTCTTTTACATAGTACACCGCGCTATCACTTTGTCATCGTTGTAACTTTTTAAATATTTGTCGAAATGACATAGTGTAAAAAGCAAAGTTTATCGTCTTTAAATATCAAAAGCGATAAAAGTATTTGTTTTGATAAAAAATGATTTGTTAATACAAAATGTGCATTTTGGAAATAGATATCAAATAATATTTTAGTTTTGATTCACTATTTTAGCGGTAATGACTTACACATTAAAAATAGATATATGGTCACGGACTTTTTTTAGAACTATTTAAGAGATACATTTTCACTCTACATTACATTCATGTATTTTTTTATTGTTTTTTGCAGTGCAGGCCAAAATGGCTCGCAGATGGGAGATTTTTTTCCGTCTTATGTGACACTTATTGTTATATATTGGCCAATTCACTCAATAACTACATAAATTATTATATATATGTAATTATCATATATAAGCTATATTACTGTTAAGTTTCATTAAAATCCATTCAGTATTTTTTAGATGAAAGAGTAACAAAGATCCATACAAACGTAAGATTGAAATTAAAAGCGTAAGTGGTTAATATACAACTTTAAAGCGTTGTAGATCCTAAACAATCATATAAAATGAAAAATGGTGTTAGGAACCTAAATATGATTTTTGATTATCTAGACAGTGATACCCCACTTGACATATTTTGTCAACTTATTTTTTTTACTTCGTCAGAATATGGCGCCTAATTTTGCCCATATTGAATTTTGATTACTATCATATCTTTAGTAGCACTCCCATAATTGAGACGAATCGATTGATGTATGAATCATCAAAATCGGTTCAGGCGTTTGGTCTCTAGTGTGCCACAAAGGAACAAACATACATATATAGACTGTTAAACACATAACCCTGTCTGCGCGTAGCGCTTCGCGCTCTTGCATTGCGCAGCCGGGTAAAAAGCAGCCCTTGCTGAGTTTCTTGCCGGTTCTTCTCAGTACAAGGTCTCCCGCCGTAGTTTTGCGAACCGATGGCGTAGCTTCTGACCTTCACAAGTGCTTGTAACAGCCTAGACTGAATAAATGACTTTTCATTTCAATTCATTTCATTCCCTAAATGTCACCTTCTTATGAAGGTGATGACTCCTAAATATCAGAAGAGTCTTGCAACTTATACCTACGTGTATGGTGCTATGAATGTAGAAGTGAAGGTATGCTCAAAGTTCAAAATACGCTATACTATTTTAGCTTTTAGTTCATAGCACGACAATGTTGAGCACAATTTAATTATAAAGAACACTTCACATCACGCTATACTATATTGCATGGGCTGGGCTTACTAAATACACTATACTATATTTAGCGCAATAATGAAGCGTAGCTATACCCAGGTAATTATGAAACAACTCGAAATCCAGTATGCCGATTTCAATACAAAATCTATACTCAATTTAAAATCATGAAAAGATTGTGTTTTGTCGGTTCTTCTAAAAAAAGGTTTTCAGATGTTTTTCAAATGTTTTATTCAGCATAGGATGCTGAATAAAACATTTGAATGGGAATGCTGATAAATAATGTTTTCTTGTTTATTGAAATTTTCTCTAAAGTTTCCTCTTGGGAATTTCCATAAGTCTTCTTTCGAAGTACCTACTTCTGGTTTAGTTAGCTGAAGTTTGACATAAAATTTGTTACAGCATCGCCTATTTAAAGTAATTAAGTAGATACATTATACTTACCACAATATATTTCATTTACGTTATGGTTCATTTACGCTTTTCTCAGGTGTTCTCTCATTTTGTCATCACTGACACCCATGCATAATCGCCGAAGAATTCCCTATTGTCTTAATATTATTCTACATAATAACCTACAAAAAGTCTGTTAAGGTCAACAATAAACTTTACTCAATGGAAAAATATGTATAACTACATACATGAACATAATTTAACAACATTCAGCTGTAATTATTTCTTTTTAATATTTTGAATATAAACAAAATTTAAGTACCCATAAATATCATACTTATATTATCATACTCATTATGTATGTAGATACTAACAGAACTATAAAATAGTCAATATATATATATGCCTATATTTTTTTTCAACTACTATGTGCTATGTTACTGCCTCCAGAAATCTAACATTTTTCTGGGATCAAAATGTATCCTTTCAGGTAATATAATAAACCTATCTGTGTGCCAAATTCATCTAAATTCGTTAAGCCGCAAGATGGAGTAAGAAATATTGAACTTTCACTTCTAAAATTGATATTCTAAATGTGAAAGTTCCATGTATTACAAGGGTTTACTTGTGCCCCTTCGTGTTGGTGTCTAAGTTCTTTTCAAAGTTTCCCTATAAGAAATACTCGACAATATTATAAATTCATTTTAGTTGGTTCAGGAGTTTTGCATTGAAAGCGTAACAGACGGATATACTGTCACATTATAAAAAAGTAGTAAGTGCATATAGGTAGTATCACTTCACATGCATGCGTTGCAATGTAAGTACACATTGCAACTCACAGAATTAATAAGGGTTGTAAAGTACCAGATAAACAAAAGATTATAATCTATTGCTTTTCGGGCCAAAAACGATATCTACAGATCACAATCGAAAACAACCAAGTCGTTCAATCCTGTGGTTCAATCAGCATTAGTCATTATTTTGACAGATATAAAATTATTTCTGTGCATTTGACAGACTTGTACAGTACAAAGATTTGCTCTGATCGACTGATCTCAATCTCTTGTTTTCGCGAGGGAAAAATATATTTCTAGCGGCGCTCAGTGCCGAAATATCGACGACCGACCGTGAACCCTCCACGCAATATAGCACTACAATATAGTACTATATTGCTAGAGTCTGTGCGGAAAGAGAATGGGATTTAGATTGGAGGGCGCTGTAGTGCTTTTCTACCGTATTAGTAAGGTTTTAAATACAAAACACCGCAAGAAATCAGAACAACAAACAAATCCGTATCACTACAAAACTTTGACGTTTTACAGATTGCTGGGTTTGATTGCCAAATAAAAATCTTAATGTTAGTTCCGTTTTTCGCCACGCCCATTCTCTTTCCGCACAGACTCTACTGAAGCTCATAAACCGAGTCAAGCGCAATAAATAAACAATAATTTTAATAATTACTTTAATAATTTAGCAGAAAATATAAGATATAGATAATAAATGTACTCAGTGTATGCGTAATTAAAGCAGTCATGCGTTGAGATAAACATTATCCTGCTAGCACTAATATTATTATTTTGAAAGTTTGTATGTTTGTTAATGAATCAGGCAAAAACTACTGAACAAATTCGGATGAAATTTGGTATGCAGTTTATGACCTGGATTGAGACCGAGGATATTTTTTATCCCCGAAAAATGTCAGGTTCCTGTGGGATTCCCAAGAAACTGAAGTTAACCCGGCGAAGTCGCGGGCGGCAGCTAGTGGATATTTTTATTGATTGAAACTCATTTGGTCATCAACTCAAGTGCATAGGCAGATGGTATATAAAAAGTTCAAAGTCCCGTTTACAGGTCGCCATCGTCGTCGGTCGCTCGCTGGGCTTGCTTGCAGGCGACCGCAGTCCAGTTCTAACAGGGTGTTTAACAGTTCGACAGTTGGCTTATCGGTGTGAGAGGCTTCGCGATAAGACGTGAAACTCGTGCGCGCCTCGCCAGTGCCGCCGCCGCCGCCGCACCAGCCCACCGCATGTGCCCGGCGCACTGTTCACAAATCTCTTACAATAATATACGATTGATATGTGCTTGAATCCGAACTGCTACCGGATAGTGTTTAATAAACTTCGGTGTTGTGACAAAGATTGGTTTTACTTTTAACGTCAGCATCAGCAAAAGAAAAGACGGAAAATAACATCACATTTTCACAGTGTAAGTTTTTCAACTTTTACATTTTTGTTTTGAAAATTCGGTCAATGGCGATTCGGAACAAGGCGTTTGGGGTAAATATAGCGGCGTTCGCCGTTAGACGCGCCGTTTAATGGAGCAACGAAAAAGTAAAAATATCATAGCGACAGCGCGGCTCGCGCGTGAGATTGTTTGTTGTGTTGTGCGACAATGGTGTAGCGGCACCGGCGCGGGCTGCGCGTGCGCTGAACCGAGCGTGTGAGCATATTTTCTCTGACCTTTCTAATTTCACTCGTCTCGATTACTATGAAAAGTAATAGAAACACAAAATATTACATTTCACAACCGCATTGGCTGAATAACAATGTAAAATGTTTTGAATTTTATTAGTTCATCTTTGACTACTCCGATTTTAAAAAAAGTCAGATTTAAACTTTATTGAATGGGTTCGCTTACTTCATACACACATTGTAAATTTCGTTTTGTATTAAGTTTCCTTAAAGGTCTCGTTCTCTTGAAATTTTTATGTAAGTATAGGCTTGACTATAAATAAAAACATCGTAACTTAAGTATAGACTGAACATCCTTTTTGTAAAGACAGACAGACAGACACAGAACACATAGCTGTAAATATTGTGCACCAAGACAATTCATTTTAATAATAAAAAATTATTTTGAGATTTCATTTTACTGAATAGATAAAGAGGATCTTTAACTTATCTATATAAAATACCACCTATAAGTACCTGTAATGAATCTCATAATTACCTGAGTAAGTATTAAAAGCTTTTAGGTCTCATCTAATTTTATCAGTTTTGTATTGAATCCGTTAGTTATATGACTTAGTGAAAATACACAAAATTATTTTAGATATTACATACAAATGATGTTTATACCTAATGATGTATATAAACTAAAACCCCTGTTCTTATTATTGCTTAGCATGTGGACTGATAGTGCAAGAAAACCCTAGAATGCGCCAGCACAGATAGCAAAAGTCAATCAAGAAACAATGTGATTTGGAAAACAATAGCATTAGGCTACTCGTAATAGTGATAGACACTAGTGTAAACTTAATAAATGTAAACTTCAGTATTATGGCTATGGGAGTGATAATTATTCTGTTGAATGTAATTGAAATATGTTTTATGTAGCTACTTTTAGCTACAAACTTCAATAGATTTTTTATCAACGTTGGGTTTCTCACCGCATTCCAAACTGGGTTGAGGTATATGTCACTGTTTTATCTTTGTTAAAATTGTATATATATATATATATACAACAGAAAACTACACTTTTAAACCATTTTCTTAATTTTAACGACTGATTTCTCTAAATAGGCTTAAAGTAGAGACACTCGTTTGAGTAGGGCAAAGATCTTGGGGCATATGAGTAGCACCCTTGTCTCTTATTTCTGTTTTTATTGCTTTTATTCCTAAACAACATTTGTAAACAAATAAATAACAACTTCAATATTTAAACCGGAAAAGTAACATCTTACCCCGGCTTGGGTCAAGTTAATAAAGTTGGGCAAATAATTGCGAGATCATGGGTATACTTTTTGAAAAAAATAAGTTAAAATCATGGACAAAGTACCGAACTATAAACAACAATATTGAATAAATAAAAAATATGAAAAATAAAAATACAGTATAAATAGCTATGAGTATTAGTTTATTTGTTCAAAATTGTGCACAAATTAATTACCATTTAATTATTTAGCAATTGTTTTGGACCTAAGTTCTGACGGACGGTATGGACTTGGCGGATGGGAGCTAGATGAAAAAAAGCTTTGACGAAGAATCTCACGATAAAAGTGTAAGAATTATCCGTCACAACTGTCAGTTGTTTCGTAGCGTATTGAGTGTAGGCTTATGTTTATTTTTAACTTCGTTCCAACCGAGTGTTCGATGACACACACGATTTATTTTTTATTGTAACCTTGTCACCTATTATAATTAACTGCATCTGCAGATTTTTGCATTATCTTAGACACAGATCATCATGGTTATAATCGGGGATAAATCAATAGATAAGGTGCAAATTAGAAAAAAATACTACTTTGTAGGGACAGACGAAGATTTCAAAACAACTTACTCTTGAAAATTTAAACATATCCTCAAGTTCTTCCTGAGAAATTTAAGACTTCCTTTCGTACTAGAGGGTTCTTGGGTTCTTGCATATTATTAATATTGCAAGAACCCAAGAATAAATCTTTTTACGCATAGTACCTATGCCAACATATCAATAGCAACTTTGTTTTTGTTTCAAACATTATTTTTTTTTTACTGAGGACACTTGTTACCTGTGTGTGTTACCTCGGACTTCGCAGAATTTACAATGTTTTGTGGTTAAATTGTCGAGAAGAGAATAGCGGTTAATGACCTGTGTTTTTACGGAAACTAGGCGTATCTAAAACCTGAAGATAAAACCCGGCAACGTATAAAAATTACTATAAAAAAACACTCGTTACCTTTACCGAAACGCGCTGACTATAGGAGTCTATTTTACTTTTTAAATAAGTAAATTATTTTATTAACCGACTTAAAAAAAACAAGGAGCATATCTACTGGACCCGTATGTTTGGCGCTCCTAACGCGTACCAAGTATATTGTAAGCTTGTGCAGGAATAACATCATTAAATTCAGGTTGTAATGAGTATTTTTGGTGAATTAGGTGTTTTCGACTTTAGGAATAGTGTAAAATCGGTTAGTTCTTAGGAAATTATTAGGTAATAAATGAGCGTTTCTTCACGTTACTGACTATGTTGAACCGTAAGTAACTTCTCAAACTAGAACTTTGAAATTAAGACGTTTCCTTTTTAGCAAAACGGTGGAAGTCGTCGGTTTTTTTTTCGAAATTTATATGTATTTTCGTTTTCGCTGATTATTACTGAAGATGGCAAGACAGATTTGGAAAATCCTCATTATTTTTTGTTTTTCCCCAGTTAGTCCCATAGTCATCAGGGCAAGATCTGATGATAGGATCCTGGAGAAATTAAGGAAATTCTACAAAAGTTATAAGCTAATCTATAGCTATTTAGATATATTTGATAGTATCTCGTTCATTTAATCTTGGTAAACGCCATCTGTTGAAGCGGAACAGATGATGAAGACCTTAGATGGCCACCGAAACTAATCAATAATAAATTTACGTTTGTCATAAACCATATTTTGAAAAAGTGAAGAAGAACTGATAGTAATGTACCCGGAGACCCAATAATTTGACGATATATAGCAAGTTACATAACGCTATTGTAACTTAGTTGGCGAAGTACCTACCTCAATTGAGCTGATGTGGCTCTGACTTATAAAAAGTGAAAAACTTAAAACTTGTATAACAGAAATGCAACCAACTTTATAATAACAAAAGCCCCAAAACATTAAGAAATAATATTTATTCTTTATTTTTAAATAATATTTAAAGTAGGTAAAATCTTCTATATATATAAAACTCAAAGGTGACTGACTGACTGACATAGTGATCTATCAACGCACAGCCCAAACCACTGGACGGATCGGGCTGAAATTTGGCATGCAGGAAGATGTTATGACGCAGGCATCCGCTAAGAAAGGATTTTGATCAATTCTACCCCCAAGGGCATAAAATAGGGAATGAAACTTTGTCAATTTTAAACCGATCGGGCTGAGACTTTGCATGCAGGTATAAGAAGAATCATAGATGAATGTCATTGTGTATAATACAAGCCTGAGAACAAAAACTGTAGTCTACACTTAAGCTCTACACCGAAGCGAAGCGATGGCAGGCCGCTAGTTAACAATAATTTGGTGTCAGTACTAACTAACACAAGTTGTGAACGGCATATGATAAAGCTATCTAAATATCTATACAATCCCTAATTCTATAAAAACATTTGTCTTAAATATTCTGCAGAGGTATTTTGAAACATTATGTAGGCATCATTTGTATACAATAACGGCAATATAATGTGATACTTTGGCACTCGAGAGAACGATAGGAGCTCAATAACAGTATTGTTTCTTTGTTTGACATTACCGATAAGATACTTATCACCGCTCGACTACCTAATAAATGTACATTAAATTATGGGTACTCATTATAGTATTAGGTGAAACTGTAATAGTCAATTATCTTTGCTAAAACTATTTGTAAGCCGAAACAGTTTCATACAGAGTTGGTGTCCTCAGCTTTATTTTTTTTTGTACAAGATTGTTTCATTATTAAAGGTAACATTTCACAGATTTAAATATCCGCAGGAGGATTCTTTTGGGACTATTAAAAAGTTAAAATAACAGTACATAAGTAAAAATAAATATGTTTTTTCGACCGACCAGCATTTCAAAAAATATGAATAGTAGGTACCAAGTCAATAACAAAAATACCTCTCCAATTTAGGAAAACTGAGAGTCTCTATAGATTTTAATCTAAAATTAAGAATACATGTTACTGGAAGACCTACTCTACCATACTATAGTTATTAAGGACATGGAATTTCACCTTTAGATTATAACAAAAAGGAAAGATATAAGTCGCGGCACGAAACTCTAGCGCTGACACCGTTATTGCGCAGTAGTAAAAATTAAGATGTCTTGGGGGGAAACGAGGTGCGCGGGTGAGCGTGCGTTGCGGCGATTGGCTCTCCAGTTATACCCGTGAGTTACGCGCTAGAGTTACGTGCCGCGACCTGTACGGCACACGCGGCTAAAAAGTGATCTGCTTAAATTGTGGTGCATGACCACAATTCGCTTTAGTCACAATTGCACATTTAAACACGCTGCATGTGCACTCAATATAACAATATTGCGTATATTCTGTATTATAAAGGTAAAACAATACCTTCAATGCTTTTATAAAGAACACAGATAGTTCAAAATCAAATAACAAATGTCTCGGCAACACTTTTCATTCGTAAAACTGTAAACACCTTTTTTCCAAAAATCACGGTTTGTAGTGAATGTTGTTTACGTTATCGCCATTTTGTTATCAAGAAAAGGACAACAATACAGCTCAGCCGTACAGACTCGCCGTTTCGCTCGCGCTAC